GGCACCAGGCGCTGCAGCTCCGCCGGCAGCGCAAGGAGGCGGTGAGGGCCGTGGGGGAACCGGAGCCGGGCCGGTTGTGATATTGTGGGGGGAAATGGGTTGGTGCGGGTCTTTGGAGGGGGCAGCGGGGAGCAGGAACGGGGCCGGTGCGGGTCTCGGTGCTGGTGTATGTCCGTGGGGACTGAGCCAGGTCTTTGTGGGAGGGGTCAGGAGCTGGGCCAGGGAAAGGAATGGGTGGCTGGGTCCGTTCAGTTTGGGGCAAGAAGAGCATTACTGGACCGTGTGGCTTCGGGACAGGCTGCGGAGGGATCTGGTGTTGATCTGAGGGGCGGGATAGGAACTGGACTGGGGCTGGGGTTCATGCTCTGCAGTTGTGCCCACAGGTGCTGGCAGAGAAGCGGAGCTTGGGTAGCAGGGACGGACCCCCACACCTCGTGGTTCTGGTGCCGCTGCACAGCAGGGCTGCAGCACACGACACTCTCCGCCTGCTGCAGAGCCAGGACTCAGCTGTTGTCCGTGTGGATGAGGGGAGAGCTGGTGACTTTGCACTCCTCTGCCCCCGACTCAAGCAGCGCTGGCGCTTTGTGACAGCACAGGCAGGTGAGGAAACACTGTTGGTGGTGTGGTTCTTGGCTCTGTACCCCTGGCAACCCCAGTAATAGAGGTGTTTTGTGTGCAGGGGACCATCATGCTGTCTTAGACCTAGCAAAGGTTGCCGACTCCCTCCTGTTTATCTTGGATCCTGCAGATGGCTGGGACAGCGCTGGGGAGCACTGTCTCTCCTGCCTCTTTGCACAGGGGCTGCCCAGTTATGGTGAGTGAGTAAGAAACATTAAGGACTTCTAGTTGGCGTATGGGTCGAGGGGGTGCTTGATGGGGTGCAGTAATTAAAAATTCCACATATTGATAGGTGATCACAGGTCTTTGACTGCTCTGTTTCTGAGCATGATCAAGTCAGGTGAATGCCATTCTCATGCTGCCCTGTTGTGTTACTACCCTGGTGGGGGAGCGTGGGACATAAAAGGGGTGTTCTAGGTTTAGGTCTCTGGGTGCGTGGTGATGTCAGTACTGTATTGGTTATTCAGGCGTGCAGAGTGAAGGGATTCAGACGCTTTCATGCTGCGTTCGGTTCCTGAGCCCTTATCTCCACGGTCTCGTTTTATCTCAAAATCTTATCTCTGAAGACAGGTTTTCTGTCCCAAGTGTTCTTTTGAATGTGTGAAACTGCCTTTGCACCTTGTGGTGTGAATCTGTTTGGTTATTTGGGTTGCTGATATCTGAGTGTTTGTCAGTGCTTGGTGAAAAAGGGTATAAGAAGATTTACGATCTGATCCTGAACTCTGTTCTATGCACTGCTTGGTAGCTCTTGCTGTCCCAGGGGGCACTGACTTGCCACCTAAGAAGCGGATAGATGCCAGGAAGAAACTTGCTAAAGCCATTGAGAAGCGCTTTCCTGAAGCCAAGCTCTTCCCCCTGAACACGGAGCAGGAGTCCTCGCTGTTGCTGAGGCACCTCGCCACCCAGAAGCAGCGTCATCTCGCTTTTCGGGACAGACGGGCTCACCTGCTGGCCTACGCCGCTGAGTTTGTGCCTGGTCAGGAGAGCGACCTGGTTGGGACCTTGAAGGTGTCTGGCTTTGTCCGGGGACAGACCCTCAATGTGAACAGCCTGGTGCATATTGTGGGGCATGGAGACTTCCAGATGAGCCAGGTGGATGCCCCTCCAGACCCCCTCTCTTTGAATCCCCGAGTGGTTAAAGGACAGAAGAGGAGTCACGACATGGAAGTACAGGTGTGTGGGAGGTCAGCACTTTGCCAGCCCTGTTAAAACATGATGTTTCTAAACTTTAATCAGGAAAATACAATTATCTGTGTGTGTGGTTAAGGGGGGGTAAAGGGAGTTTTGTCAAGAGAGCCAGCAGGGCTGTGTTCTGCCACTGAGCTGAGATTCCTTGTGCATGGCATGCAACCAATGTTATGTTACAGCATAATGAACAGGATACTGAAGGGAGTTTGACTTCAGACTGATTGCTAGCTTGAGTTAGGTGTGTTCACAGCTGGGAACTCTGCTCTTGCCCTTCAGGATGACTCTGTAAATGGTGCTGATGAGATGGAGGAAGATGTTAAGGTCCTGATGAAGGCAGATCCAAACAAGCAGGAGTCTTTGCAGTCAGAAGTCGTTCCTGATCCTATGGAAGGGGAGCAGACGTGGCCCACTGAAGAAGAACTGCAAGAAGCAGAGGGTAAGTAGCAGCAATACTTCTGTACCTTTTCCTTGTCCTCATTAAGAGGGTTGTTAGAAATCTTCCATTAACAGGATGGCCAAGGGTGGCTGTGAAGAAATGTGCTAGTTGGGAGCCCAGGGCTTCTGTTCCTAGTCCCATCACCCGACTACCAGGCTGCATGGTTTGCCTGGCAGTTAGCAGAGTTACATTTTAGCTGCCTTTTCTGGGCCCCAACAAATTCTGTGCTGGGAAATGGCGATTCTGGTCTAGAGCTGATCTTGGCTGTCCCGGTGTAAATGTTGCCGAGGGAATGGAGAGTTCCCCAGTTAACTATTGGTGGGTATCCTACAGCTTCTCTGAAGGCAAACAGGAGGGTGGTGAAGGTCCCCAAAGGCACATCCAAGTACCAGGCTGCTTGGATTGTGGATGATGGAGAAGAGGGCAGTCAGGAAGATGATGATAGGTCCCCAAAGGCACATCCAAGTACCAGGCTGCCTGGATTGTGGATGATGGAGAAGAGGGCAATCAGGAAGATGACGATGAAGATGATGACATCGATGATGATATGATGGAAGAGGCAGTTTCCCAGGTACCTTCTAGAGCTGATACTGCAGGTGATCTCCACAGCGCTATTGCATATATTAGGACAATCCTGCCCTTCCAGCTTGCTCCATGAAAGGGCACAACACAGAGCCAGGACTTGCCTGGATTTCCATTGTTAAATCTCTCGCGTGTATCATGTTGCTTCTTTGGCCTGCTAGATACTGAAGTGAGGGACTGTGGTGTAGCTTGGGGCACAATTCAAACAGTGCGAGTACGCACAGGGTTTGCAGTGCTGCGTGGACATCAGCAGAGCGTGTGTGCTCATGGGCTCTGCGTTGTCCTCTGTGTCAGGAGGGGGAAAGCAGTGAGGAGGAAGAACCTGCAGAGGAGGAATGTGAGACCATGACCATTTCTGAGTGCTTGCGGGATGACCAGTACGATGAGAAGGTGGAGGAAGATGAACAGATGCTGGAGAGATACAAACAGGAGAGAATGGATGAAATGTTTCCAGATGAGGTGGACACGCCACGTGACGTACCTGCCAGAGTCCGGTAAGAACCAAGATGCTTTGCTGGCAGAGGAATTGGAAGGTGCCCTTCTGTCTAGTTTAGTGAGACAGGGCAGGAAGCCTGTGATGTCTTAGCCATGGTGTCTGAACCTGGCTGAAGGACTCTTCTGAAGACTCACTCTTAGGCTCTGAGGCTTCCAGGGGAAGGCACTAGTTGGGGGGAGGAGGGGGAGCGTGTGAGCCTGGGCAGCTCCCTATGGCAGGGAGAGCTGGGTCCTGATCTGGGAGAGGGAGGAGGATGGCAGAGCCCTCTGATGCAAGGATAGGTTGTTAGTGGGACTTGGCTACTGTTTCTAGCTCTCCCTGCGCTAAGATCTTTTCTGAAAGCTAACATTTGCTTTGCTCCCTTTGCCCTCTGAAGGTGTGAGTCCCTGAGGACCATGGAAGGTGCTGGCCAGACATCTTATTGTGAAGTAGTTTGTCTTTCCTGGTATCTGTCCTTTAGGTTCCAGAAGTACAGGGGGCTGAAGAGCTTCCGGACTTCTCCATGGGACCCCAAAGAGAATCTCCCAAGGGACTATGCCAGGATTTTCCAGTTCCAGGACTTCTCCCGAACCAGAAAGAACCTCTTCCGGAAAATAGAGAAAGAGGAGACTGAAGGAGCCTCGGTAATTCCCTTTCTCTTGCTGATCTCTTCCCCTATTGTGTTCCCTTGCTCCTATTAGGAAGGACTTGGTGGGGAGGTGCCTGAGTTCTCTATGGAGAGAAGTATTCACAACTGCTCCTTTCTTGGCAGGTTGGCTGGTATGTTACACTTTATGTCTGCAATGTCCCTGTCTCGGTGGTGAAGAGCTTCAAAGAAGGGAAGCCACTAGTCCTGTTCTCACTGCTTCCCCATGAACAAAAGGTGACTAAGTATGGCGCTGCTGATATCTTGTAGGTGTGCAGCTCCTTGTCCAATTCCCTCAGGCTGCATGGTTTGGAGAAGTTCTGGCTGCAGAGGGTTTGGGTTGAAATCTCCCTGCGTTGAAAAGTAGGACCTTCCCTTTGGTCAGAGCAGGCTGAAGCTGCCAAGGGTGTTTAGGCTAGAGTGTCTGAGCCTGGCTGAGGTGTCTGCATTGGTGACCAGCGTTCCTTTGGGAAGCTATTGTCAAAGGCATTTGTACCTGCTGCAACGTCATGTTGCTTTCTGCTCTGGCTGCTATCGTTTGCCAGCCCTGCTGTCAGCCCCTCACTGTGATGCCTCTGCTGCAGATGTCTGTGTTGAATTTCCTGGTGCGTCGGCATCCGAGCAACAGTGAGCCGGTGAGGGCAAAGGAGGAGCTGATCTTTCACTGTGGGTTCAGGCGCTTCCGAGCATCCCCGCTGTTCTCCCAGCACACCTCAGGTTTGTGAGGGACCGGTGGCGTGGTTATGGGTATGCCAGGAGGTGGAGCTGGGGTTTCTAGGGCAGGAAGCCTGTGATGTCTTAGCCGTGGTGTCTGAACCTGGCTGAAGGACTCTTCTGAAGACTCACTGTTAGGCTCTGAGGCTTCCAGGGGAGGCATGAAATAGTGGGGAGTGGGTGGGCCTGGGTGAGGTGGCTCACTGGTCCAGGTAAGGCAGTGGCAGGCTCCACGCAGTGAGCTGGTAGCTCAGAGGATCACCCTCATTCCCAGATACTCTGTGCCAGCAGAGGAGGGGTGTTTGTCACCTCTTTTCCTAAAGTGCAGAGCCCATTTGCCAGGAAAGAATGGGCTCAACAGGGTTTCCCAGAGCTCTGAGGACTGCTGTAGGCCTGAACTTGATCATTGCTGTTCTGTCCTAGCTGATAAGCACAAGCTGGAGCGTTTCCTGCGCCCGGATGCTGCCCTGGTGGTGACTGTTTATGCTCCCATCGCTTTCCCTCCTGCCTCAGTGCTTCTTTTTAAACAGAGAAGTAACGGTGAGTTGTAAGTGCTGAGGAGGTGGTGTCTGGGAAACAAATGGTAGCAGGCTGTTCCCATACCCCACTTACAAGTGCATCTATCCAGAAAGTATGACTCAAAAGCTGTCCCCTTCATGCTGTTTGAGAAGATTAATGTGTTTCCATCCCCAATATCACTGGCACCTTTGTCTGTCCCTGCTGTGGGGTTGCTCTGGGCCTGGAACCATTTGGGGAAGGGAGTTGTGGTGAGGGAGGAGGTGAGGGAGGCACCTTCTGGGGCACTGCCCTGGTCCGTTAGTGACTCTGCCTTGCATGAATTCATGACCTCATCGCCACTGGTTCTCTGCTTTCGGTGGACCCAGACAGAATCGTCATCAAGCGGCTGGTGCTCAGTGGTCATCCGTTCAAGATCTTTACGAAGACGGCTGTTGTGCGATACATGTTCTTTAACAGAGGTGTGGCCCGTCTCGTGTGTGGTGGCAAGAGGGGATGTGGAAGCAGAACTTCTGCCCCTGCAGGATCAGTTGTGTTGGTGCAGCAAAGCCTGTTTCTTATCTGCCTTTAATGTTTTGATTTCCAGAGGATGTGATGTGGTTTAAGCCAGTGGAGCTGAGGACAAAGTGGGGTCGTAGAGGACACATCAAGGAGCCATTAGGTAAGTTTGGTTCTGTATTTACCTCTGTGATGCAGGATGTCATCTTTCTGAGCAGGAGAGACAGCTAATGGCCTCTTCTGCTCTCTGCCTAGGGACCCACGGTCACATGAAGTGCCACTTTGATGGACAGCTGAAGCCCCAGGACACCGTGCTGCTGAACCTCTACAAGCGTGTTTTTCCTAAATGGACTTATGACCCCCATGTTCCGGAGCCCGTGCCGTGGGTGAGGAGCGAGAGTGCGCTGCCGGTGCAGGAGGTGGAAATGGAATAAGTGTCCAGCACGGCTAATGCAGTTTGTGCCTTAGCACCCTGGATGCTGTTCTCAGTTCGTGCACAGTGAGGACAGCACTCATGCCTTGGACGTATTACCACTGGGGTCTGTACAGGGGTGGCTGTCTCACCAGCTGCTGCTCAGGTACCAGCTACAGCTATTTATTTTAATGGAAAATGTTTTCAAAAACATCTAAGCGCCTCTGTCTTGGTGGTGGCCGGCTGTGGAGGCCAAGTGGGGAGGCTGTGCACACCCCTTCTCTTGTGAACCCCGTGGCCCACTGGGGCTGTTGTCTTTCCCTCCTACCCTCCCATAGCGGTGGGTCTGAGGATTTTGCTGTTTTGAGGACAGGAGTTTGCTGGAAGTTATTGCTGACACTAAGGAAGGTGAAGTAGCAAGTGGGGAAAGTGAGTACAGCTCACTGGAGGCCTGTCCCAGAGCAGGGCTGCTGGGGAGGGGAGAACAGGCAGTGCTTTTGCTTCCAAGCCCCCTACCCAGTAGCAACCCTTTGCTTTGGAACCAAGCAACCCTGTGCTGTAGAGACCAACACCAGCTTCCCTTATCCCTCCATGAAAACTTTCAAACGTTTGCGGTTGTTCATCTGTTTTTAGTAGTGCACAAACCAGACTGCACAAATTCAGAGTGAGGTTTCCGTTGCTCGAGACACGGCTCCGTTCTCATTCCGCTTTCCCAGGGAGGTCTGTGAGCCAGGTCAGGGAGCTCAGGTCCACATTTCCCCCGCACAGCACGATGCAAACGTTCTCTACTTCCCGAGGGACTGCCTGGAACTGCTCCGAGAGCACAGCCGCCACTCCCACACCCGCTGTTGGCTCAATCAGCAGCTTCATCCTTTCCCACACCAGCCGCGTGGCTCGCTGTTGGGACAGAGCAGCAGCTGTCATCCCAGCAGCAAGTACAGGCTGCTCCAGGGCTGCAGAGCTCTGCAGCGCTCTGGGAAGGGAGAGCAAAGCTTCCGCCAGCCCTTTCCAGCTGGAGACAGTGTGGGTGTTGCACAGCTGCGGTGGTGTGCAGGGGCTTATGCTGCCCTGGGAGAGCGTAGGGCTGAGAGTGGAGGGGCAGAGAGCATGGATGGAGGCAGCTGCCTGCTGGCAGCTACCGTGAGAAGAGAGCTGGGAGCATTTACCTTGATTTCTTCTTCTGAGACCGTCAGGACGTCATCAACCAAGTCCCTGATGATGGGCCATGTGTTTGGTCCGATGCTGGTTTTAACTGCATCTGCGATGGTATCCGGTGGGTGAAGGTTGGGGGTCAGTTCCCCTCTTGCCTTGGACTGGTAACAGTCATCGGCCTTGCACGGCTCAGCAGCGAACACTTTCACATCTGGTCTCAAAGCCTGCGGAGGGCAGGAGGAGCTGCTCATTTGAAACTAGTGTGCGCCCGTCTGCTGTTGCTGTGTGCGCAGGGGGCCAGGTACGCCATGCTGCTGCCATGCAGACCCCAGGCACACAGATTTCCACAGTGGGATTTCCACAGCTGCTGCCTGTCTTTGGGAACACTGCCCTTCCCACAGGGACATGCAGCCATCACTTCCCAGATGAGGTGTTGCCTACCTTGATGGCAACTGCTATTCCTGCAATCATTCCTCCACCTCCGACGGGAACCACCACTGCGTTTACCTCGGGCGCCTGTGCAGAAAGGAAGTGTGAGTGCTCCCTTTCGCTGCACCCCTGCTTGCAAGGAGCAGAACCCTGGGCTGGGTCTGGGCTCTGCCTTTCCCTCACCTGCTCCAGCACCTCCAGGGCGATAGTGCCTTGCCCCGCGATCACCGCCAGCTCCTGGTTGGGGTGCACC